CATTCCAACTGATGTTACCATTATCTACTTAGCTTAATTATTGATCTGTTCCTTCATCTTGTTTATCTTCAGGTCCTCAAGTAATTAAACTTGACATGAAATAGACGTATTTTTGTACGTAACTATAATACTTAGAGTGGGCGTATGGCACCAATATTCTTTCGCTTCCTAAAATGATTCAGCTACTAGCACTTTTGATGGTATATGTTCTCATTAATTTCTTTTTCCTGGATGATTACTCTCATTTTGAGATAGCTAATCTAATGAAGTACTAAAATTCAAGATGTTTAGTAATAAGGCTGATATGTTGTATAATCGATTAATTTTTTAGTTCAAGTAATATGATTCATTCTCTCTGGTCATGGTTTCTAGTGGTTTAATATAGAAAGTCCAGGTGTATGATAGCTAATAATTCCTAGTAAGCTGGTACTTAAAAATTAAAAGATCTCATTTGATTAATGTGAAGACTCTTAGATACTTAAATGAGTAATTTTATAGAGAGAAAAAATATAATAATATTTTAAAAAGATAAACTTTTAATATATATATATATATATATATATATATATATATTAAAAATGCTAAGAATGAAAAGATTGTGAACCTTAAGCTTGAATGATTCATGGTGTATCATTTATAGCCTACGAGTCTTTTTTTTTAGAGGAGAGGCTAAAGTATAAATTCACTCTTATAATATTTTTGAGTTGTAATGAACTCAAAATAATACATATTAAATTAATATAAAATAATAAAAGACCTATGTGTGGTCCTTGAAAAATTCTTAAATGAATGTTAGACTTGAACAAGGTGTTTCAATTCATTAAAGGTGAAAAATAAATCCGAGCTTGCTGCCTAAACTTAAACATGTTGGGTTTGAGCATGACAACCCAAGATCATATTAGTGTTGGGCTGCACACCCAACATTAGCTTGGAAGCAAGCCTATGTATATTGGGAACAATTGGGCTCTAGTATGATAGTTTGAGTCTATAAAGATTTTTTAGGCATTTTAGGGGAGTTTTTTAGGCCTTTTGAAGGAGTTTCTTGGGCTTATTAAATTTGAGTTTATTTGTAGCCTTTTAATTTTTTTATGATATTGATACGCAAAGACTTATAAATTTTTTTGGTAAGACGAGTTTTATTAAGTTTTTTTTATATGAGAAGAAAGGTGAAAACCCGAGTAATATACTGGAGAGCTTGTGTATAGGAGCATATATCATGGTTTAAAAAAGAATCTCTAAGCATGTAGTGGGGAACCATAGAAAAACCCATACTTAAAAAATTTCTAAATGGATAAAAAGAACATATGAAGGGTGAGGCCTCACATAGAAAATTTTTTAAGAGGGTGAAGGGAACTCATGGAGGGTGGAGCCCATACTTAGAAAGTTTATAAATAGGTATGAGGACAAATCCATGTTGACACCTATACTTAGAAAAAATTTTAAATGGCTAGGGAGACAAACCCATGTTAACGTCTGTATTTAGAAAAATATCTAAGTGGATAGAGGGATGAACCCATGTCAATGCAGAAAAATATCTAAATGGATAGAGGGATGAACCCATGTCAATGCCTATATTTAGAAAAATTTCTAATGGGTAAAGGGGATATATCCATGTCAATGTCTATAATTAGAAAAAAAATTATAAAGGATGGAAAGGACGAATACTTAAAAAAATTTCTAAGGGGTGGAGGAGATGAACCCCATAAAGAGTGGTGTTATTATACTAGAAAGACCAAGTTTATCCATTAAAAAATGGTCATATTGGAATATGAAAGGTATGTGACCTCTTTAGAATAACATGAAATATGAAAACCTTCCACTAAGGAGTGATCAATGAAGTGTGGGAGGTATGTTACCTCTATATGATGGTATGTAGCCTTCCTAATGATGATATGAGGGATCAGGAGCCTCTAACTAAAGAGTATGTCATGCTACTTCCCTATAATTATCATAGAGGTGTGGGAGCCCCTGGTTAGATAATGGTTATTTTTTAGAATAAGTGGTATATGGCCTTCTTGATAATGTAATGAAGGTGTGAGGGCCTCATATTAGAGAGAGGTTGTACTTAAGAATGAGAGATCCAAGATCCCTTGAGATAATATAAAGCTTGGAGGCCTCACTATATAGTCATACTTGTCTGAGATTGTATTGGAGAGATTGGGGATCTAATATCAATTCCTAACAAGTTGTGAGAGGCGCTTTAACATCGCTTATATAATGTGCTAGTCTAAAACTGCATTGAAAAATAGAAAATCTAAGATTAACCCCCTGACAAATTGGTGAGAGACCTTTTTAGACATCACTTGAAGAATATACTGATCTGAGATTGCAATAGGAGATTCGAGATCAACTTATGGTTAATTAGTGAGAGTGTTTTCGACATCACCTAAAAAATGATACTATTATGATAAGAAGATCTCATACCCATCTCTTGAAGATTGTGAAGTTATTGCCGTAGAGAGACTAAGTCAATCACTTTCAAAGAAAATGTTGCTATGACAATAGGGAGACCAAGTCAATTTTTTCTTTAGAAAGTCTCTAGAAGCTCCCGCTAGAGATTTATAGATAATACATGCATGTCAGACATCTATTATTTTATTTCAAAAATAAACTTACATTTCTATTAAGGATTATACATCTTGAGGTGATTTGAATGATAAGCATAAAGAAGGTTCTTAAAAGGAACATGTCTTGGAGGTGGTGCTAATGTGTTTGCTTTGATTACCCTAATAACTTTAAAAGAGTGATCCTATTTTGATTCATGGAGTTATAAATTCTTATGATACAAAAATTCCTATTGGTTAAGCCCATATGATTTTTTTTTATCTTTATTTATTACTAGGAGAACGATTTTGATTGGAAGGTTCTTTATGTTGGTTATCCTTATAAAAACAAAAAGGCCAATATCGTAGCAAACTAGCCTCTTCCACCTATACATGATTTTTCTTGACTTCGTTCACTTTCATAAAACTCTTGTTTGGTAAGGCATAGTGTTTTCTCGAGAGGGCATATTCCCTTACTTCTCTTATCAAGGCCTCTAAGACTATTGACTAAAGCAATTTTTTTTTTTTTATCTTGAGCATCTCCTCATTAAATCCCTTCAAATATACTTATGTAAATTTGTTCTCTTATCAGGTAACACCAAATAGCTTCATGGAGCTTTTTTAGCAGACATGCTAGTGTTAAAACATGTCACTAGCTTGGTGTAAAAGTTACCAAATCCTTCAATAAAGCTTGGCTCTAAATTATTGTACTATGAACATGTAGACCCCTAAAAGGTTGTGGGGAGGATCTTGGACATTGAGTCACTATCCTCGATGACCAACTCTAAGCTACCACATATATTATATACATGCTTCCTCAAGTTGGCCAGATCATTATAGTTGTCCAAACTTATTTTTATAAAAATATAATCTTTAGGGAATCAAGAGTTTAATACTTGTTTGGGCAAGGAAGAACCCTTCCACTTATAGAGGTTGTGGTCATTACCTTAGGTATGCTCATATACAGATTGTCTCTTAATCTTTTGTATGTTAGACTTTTAAAAGCTAGAGCAGTTTAGTATAGAATGATGATTAGGATAATTGGTGTCCATCTCATAGTAGGTAGGATAAATACATTTGAAGTACCAACTTTGTATATGAACATCACAATAGTGCAAACGATCTATCAAGGGACTCTTATGAATTTCTTCTGCCTAGTCTTCTCTAGTTAATGTAATTATTTACAAACGCTTAAAGTGACTAAGGGCTATGATGCAAGGGTAATGCGTGTTACTAAGGATGTTAACAATTCTTAGGGTGGCAAGGTCTGATTTTACTCTTAAGTTACCAAGGTCTGATTTAAATAGATGTGGGGACTCTCAAATATTTAAATTATTAACTTTGCAGAGAGAGAAAGTTTAATAATATTTTAGAGAAACAAACTTCAAAAATATATATGTTAAAATATTAAGAATGAAAAGATTGTGAACCTTGAGAGTTTCAAAGATTCATAGTGTATTTATAGCCCATGAGGTTTTTTTTTTAATTTTTTTTATGGAGATGAAAGGCTAAAATGTATTTTTATCCTTATGATATTTTGAATTGTATTCTACTCAAAATAATATATATTAGAATAGTATAAAATAATGAAGGACCGTGTAATGTCCTAATTTTTTTTCAAAAAAAATGTTGGGCTCGAGCAAGGTGTCCAACCTTATTAAAGATGAAAAATAAATTCAAACATACTATCTAGACTCAAATACATTGAACTTAAGCCTAGTAGTTCGAGCCCATATGGGTGCTGGGGTATATGCCAAACATCAAAAGTGTTGGGCAACACACCTAATATGAGCTCAAGCTACCATATCCGAGCTTATATAATTATTATTTTTTTAAATTTTAAAGGATTTTTAGTTCTGTTAACTATATTTGAGCTTATATAAATTTTTTTAAAAAAAATTTTAAAGGATTTTTAGTTCTGTTAAATTTAAATTTATGAAAAACTAATATCATTTGCATGATCACAATGAGCATTTTAGGCAAACTAAAATGTTTGTGCTGCAAAAAAGTTATCTTCTCGGTGCATATCATGCTAGTAGGGAAATGGGTCTATAATTTGTTTGACAAGCAAATACTATTTGGCAGTTAGCTGGGGCAATAAAGAGGTTGTGGTTGAATGTGATTCACGTTAGGTAGTAATCTTAATCAAGCTCAACAGACAAACATTTAACGAATTTGTATGCAACAATAGTTTTGCCCTAGCAAGAGAAAATGTACTAAAAGTACTTGTGCCTCTCTTCCCTTTCAATCTCGAGCCACACGTGTTTTAGAAGTATAAACCGAGAGAGAGAGAGAGAGAGAGCATTATGTGAAGTGGAAGCAAAATCGTTTCTGTCTCATACACACATGATGATTACCTTGTGAGTGAAGAAAAATGCATCGAAAAAGACAATATATAGAGTCAAAGACAAGAAGACCAACCATTCCTCTCTCTCTCTCTCTCTATGAGGCAGATCCCTCTCCTCTCCGTTTTCCACTCTACCCATCAACCAACAACAGACACACATGCTCTCTCTCTCTCTCTTGATTTTTCTCTAAATATTCATATTCATATCCATAGTCATATTCTTATTCTAAAGCAAACCCCACAACCATCACAGTCATCATCACTCTTACCACCCCATGAAGCGTCCTCCCTTTTCTCCTTTTTCTTTCTCTAATACTACAAATTAACAATATTTATCATTTACCTATATAGCTCTATCTTATCTCCATCAAACCAGTTCAAGGAGAACAAATTAAGCTCCAGTGCTAGCTAGCCTATCATCAGAGTATCAAACACAATGAGGAAGCCGGATCTAATGGCCAGAGATAGAGTACCAGTCAATAATAATATGAACAGGGCCAAACTTAGAAAGGGCTTATGGTCACCAGAGGAAGATGAGAAGCTCATCAAGTATATGTTAACTAATGGACAGGGGTGTTGGAGTGAAATTGCTAGGAATGCTGGTTTGCATAGGTGTGGCAAGAGTTGCCGACTGCGTTGGATTAACTATTTGAGACCTGACCTCAAGCGCGGCGCATTTTCTCCTCAAGAAGAAGAGCTTATCATTCATTTACACTCCATTCTTGGCAATAGGTATTTTTTTTTTCTCCGGTCAACCGAATAATGCTATATACTTAAAGCTAATGAAGTACAAAGCTTAGCCTGATCAATTTAATTATGTTAACATATAATCTATGTCATCTTTCCCAGCTGCCTGGCATCATTAAGTACTGGCACCGTTCCATTTTGTACTTACATAAAGATACTCTTGGATCGATCATGGATAAGAAAACAAAGAAAAATTGAAGCTAGCAATTACTTAAACAATTTACTTAATTTATACCTAGTTAAATTGTAAATTCACAAGAGGGAGTAGTATACCAGCTGTAACAAATGTGTAGACGAGGTGGAATAATGTTAATTAATCATTGGTTTCATGATGCACCTGCATCAAAACCTCCCAGACATATGTGGAAATTAATTAAGTGAATATCATGTATAGTAACATTGAACATTTTTGCCTTCTCTTTATATTAGTTTCACCTAGCAGAGGCTTTAAGGAATTGTCTATATGTTAAACTACGAATTGATCTCTTTATATATTTACTGGAATCGGACGCCATTGTTCCTAGCTCCAGTGGGTAAATTTGATGCCTCCTCTTCCCTGATCAAATTGTGCTCGGGCTGGCCTAACAGCCTTGTGACGCTTTAGGCTACACATGGCTTTTCATACATTTGGTTGATTTATACGGATGACATAGTTGAGCAAAACCATTAACAAATTACGATATCCTCTTATTTGGAATCTCCAGCTGCATTTAATTTGATCACCCATAAATCATAATGTCTAATCAATTATGGCTAATTATTTCTCACAGCACTTATTTTGTGTTCGGGATTTTTGCCGGGGGCGGAGGGGGGTTGGGGATTTTGGCTTATCTCTAAGTCAATGCAAACTGGTCCCATGGCTATAAACATTTTTACCAACGGAAAATTCAAATGAACTGTTCCGAAAAAACCCTCCCGGCACACCAAAAATAAAAAGAAACGCATTGATCACAACTTGCTTCCTTTTTTAGGGTTTTCCTTTCTGCCTGGTAGAATTAGTTCAGAAACAACAGGGAAAAAAGGAAGAAAATATTCTGACAAGTAGGAATTAGAAATAAGCGTGTGTTCTACATTCCACTTTTCACCCCTATATATATATATATATATATATATATCAACATGCATGCGTTCTATGCAAGAAGCTAGCTTATATATGTATATAGTTTGTAGTTATATATGTGGATTATGTGGTCGTTATAATCATGTATTTTGAACAATGCAGGTGGTCTCAAATTGCGGCGCGTCTTCCAGGAAGGACAGACAACGAAATAAAGAATTTTTGGAATTCCACATTAAAGAAAAGATTCAAGATCGACAGCAATTCCACATCCTCACCAAACGATAGTACTGATTCATCAGAACCTAGAGATCATGTCGTAGGAAATATCATGCCCCTGCATGATCATGACGTTATGACTCTATGCAAGGACTCATCTTCCTCACCATCCATATCCATGCATGGTGTGGTCACAGGCAACCAATTTGATCCTTTCACCGTGCTCAGTAACCGCTATGATGTGAGGGGCGCAGCAAGTTTATTTGACATGTCCCCATGCTTAACACAGGTAGGTATGGGAGATGGATTTTATGGCGATCATTACGGGATTTTGGAGGGTAATAATAAAATAGGGCTAGAAAGTGATCTTTCTCTTCCGCCACTTGAGAGTAGAAGCATTGAAGAGAATAATGCAGTGAGTAATAACAGAATTGGCGTGAAAAGCAGCAGCAACGACAACCACCACTTTGATAGTACTTGCTTCAATAATACTGATCAGACATTTAAAGTAGAGGACATGTTGGGGCTTGAAAATCATTGGCAAGGAGAAAACGTGCGAATGGGAGAATGGGATCTGGAGGGTTTAATGGAAAACATATCTTCCTTTCCTTTCCTTGATTTCCAAGCTTTATAACAGCCTACCTTACCCCCCCCCCCCCCCCCCCCCCCCTCCCTCAAATAAAAAAAAAAAAGAAAAGAAGAAAAGGATTAAAAAAACAAAACCCTTTCCATTCTCTCTCATAAAGCTACCCTAGCTATCCATACGATTTCCTAGGAATTTTTGCGCATACTTTTAAATTTGGTTCAATCCTGAAAAGTGTTTTTTTTTTTTTTAATTTCCGTTTTTTGCTTTGGTCATCAATATTGTTCTACGAACCTGCTCTTTCTACTTCAGCTGTGAAAGAAGTATATACGTGAATGCTTCTTTATTGTCGGTGAGACATGCAATAAGAATTGCGAAAGTGGAGATTAGGGGTGGAAAGAGATTCTTCGTTTGTAGTGGGATCATCGGTTTCTTTTCGAGGCACTTTGGGCCAATTCCTGGAACGAGTTGCAGCCATGATCATCGTTACCTTGAAGAGAAATGTGAATAGAGGTAGCAGAAATTCAAAGGTAAATATCTGGCGAATTGTAGTTGTATGGACGAATTTGAAAAGGAAATAATGTGGGCGTGAAGGTTGTTGTTAGTGGAGATGAGATGGATAATGTAATACACTTTATGCAAACAATAGACGCCAATTAATACGAAACAAGTTACATACAGTCAAAGATTCTTTCTCTACGTTTCATGTGTGATTAATTAATAGGTGCTCCTGCTAATTAAATTATTATTATTATTATTATTTTTAAATTAAATTATTATTATTATTGGGAGACCTAGTGAACTTCAATCTATCCATCAAGATGTAATCCTAAGTTACTTAAATCTGACATCAATTCATCACTCAGCAATTAAATTAAAATACATTCACTTTTGACTTTTTATATATATATATATAAAAATTCTTTGTATAATTAAACGAATTTCAAAATAACGTTGTCTTTTTCAGAAAGGTAGAGCAATGTCTCTGCGTGATCAAAATTAGCTAAAGCTTCAACTTAGAAACCATTTCAACGTGGATCTGACAACAATCTAAAGAAAGTTAACTAGTTGTTGAAGCATGCTTTTAAGAATGCATGTATGTAATTATCAGATTTAATATTTTTAATAATATAAATTTTTGTTGGTGTTAATACTCATAATTTATCTTATCGATATATAAATAAAAATAATCATTTGAAAATTTTTTTGTTGATAATTTATGATATGCTGGTGAGTTCATTAATAATAAATATATCGATGAATTTACTAATAAACAATACATGCAAAAAACTAAATTATTTATTTTATTTTATTAACATATCATCAATAGAAAAACAATATATAATACTATCGATTTTTTTATTTATCTGTTGATATATCAATCTATAATTATAAAATATCACGGATATAATATTGTATGTAATTTTATCGATGAGTTAACAATAATTTGTAGTAATTTTTTTTAATTATTTGTGAAATATATTAACAAAGTTATTCATTTGGATTATGAAATTTTTTTTTAATTTTCACTTAAAATTTCATCTTTTTCTATAAAACCATGTCAAAAAAAAAATGTATACATATTACTTTATTGAAAATAAAAATAGAAATTGCGGGTATAAATATATAGTAAAAGCTAAAATATTGCTAGAAATAACGGTAGATACTGAAGGGGGCATGGGAGTCCCTTAGCTACAAGCTCATCGAGCACGAGCCACTAGGCATGCAGTTAATAAAAATTTAAAAAACTAAAAGCTTTTATATATACCGTTGCTTGTTTTGTGTATTGAAAAAAAGAAAAAAAAAACCTTGTTTAAGTTCCAAAAACACAAAGAAAAGAGAAAACTTATACTGCGATTTTGTTTAAACGTGTCAAATTGTGAATACGAACTTTCGTCGATTAATTAGGGAATTAAATAAACTGTCAAGATATGCTTCTCAGACTCATTTGATCCCAAATGGAGTATGTCAAAACTTCTAGTTTAGCTATATAATGAGGCTAAAGGATCCCTAGGGTTTGACGAAACAAGTTCACGCAATCCATCTCATTAATCATTAACTGGAGTGAAAATCAACCTCCAGTTCTCTCTTAAAAAGTATAAAAATAGTTGCGACGCCTGAGAGATTCAAACTCTCGCGGGGAAACCCCATGTACTTAGCAGGCACACGCCTTAACCACTCGGCCAAAGCGTCGCTATATGAGATGGTGGCTAGGCTGATTTTATTTCCTGTAATAACTTTAACTACAAGGCCATGCCAATCTTACAAGGCCTATCCCGAAAAAGGCAATGGAAGCCGAAAAGTTGGTAGCCTAGCCCGTTAGGTGTTAGGACCTGCTCACCATCATGAGCCCAGCCCCCTTGATTTTTTATGTATTTAAGAATATAATAATGATTGTTTTTTAAAGTATTTTTTATTTTAAAATATATAAAAATAATATTTTTTTATTTTTTAAAAAATTATTTTTAATATGAATACATAAAAATAATCTGAAAAAAAATTAATTTAAAGAAAAAAATAAATTTAATTTATTTTTTTTAGAAAATATTGATGCTGCTTCTTATTTTTAATTTTGTAATTACTTTTTTTTTTCTAGTCATCTTGTTCTCCCCTTCATGAAATTCCCAGTATTTGGCGTATCCATTGTCAAGACAAGCATATTGATGCTGACTTTGATAAGGGCAGATTAGCAAATCACAGTAGTTCATATTCCCGCAATGTTACCAAAAAACAATAGAGATATCATTCATCTCTCTGTCTAAACAATTTCAGGGTGAGATTAAAAAAATTAGTAAGCTCGATTTTGCATTCCAGATCTTCCCTGAAGGTCACAAGAACATGGTCTAGATCCTACATATGTACATTATGCATCAAGATGGAAGCTACTCATGCAATGCTACTACTTACACCAGTGGCTCCGATAGAGTCACATTTGAAAACCACGGCCACTTTTACTTCATATGTCGTTACTGGCCTGGTCACCGTCAAGCAGGACAAAAGATTGATATCTTGGTTGTTCCAGCAACTTCAGATTTGAGTCCTAATCCATCAACTCAGAGCTCACCCAGCAGTGCTTCATCTCTTTATTTTAGGTTTCCAAAATTTTCTGTTCCTAATATTCTTCTGTCTTGGACTTTGGGTGTATGGCTAACCTTCTGTCTCTCAGGATTTCCTTGTTAGGAAGGTTTTGAAGTTGCTCGTTGTTCACCGATTTTTGAGTTGGGAGGTCCTTAATTGCTTTTTTCTTTTTCTTATTTTAATTAAATTAGCAAACAGATTATCATGTGACACGGATGCAAATTGTAAAAAAATTATTTTAATATATTTTTAAGTTAAACATACTTTTAAAAATCATTTAAAAACATAATTTAGCACAGCAGATTCATCATCAATAAATTATATGATATTTTCAATAAAATTCGTCCATGTCACTGTTTCATTAATTGATCTAAATGGAGAAGTATCAGTAGACAATATTGACATTATCAAGAGGCAAGACGAAGAGATACCGTAAATAATGATTGGGGTTTGGTCTTTAATTAAGATTCAATGCATGGATTGAGAAGAGAATGGAAGTCATGAGGAGACTTTTGTATTGGCAAACAGATTATCAAGTGGGGGATGCAAATTGTGGATGTCTTTTCTCGTATGTAATTCGTCGTTTTTTTTTTTTTAAAAAAAATTGATATTAAGTTTGAAACGATGTTTTGATGCATTTCAAAATTGATTTTATGAAATTAAATTTTTGTTTTCAAATATGCAGGGAAAATAGATTAGGACTTGTGAATTTTATTTTAATTTGGTTTGAGTTATGATTTTAAACTAATTAAAAAATATTTTTAGATTATAAATGGTTTTATAAAAGTTTTTAGATTATTTTGAGATATTTGAGGTGAAAAAAATTGAAATTTGAGTTTCTAGAATCTTAAAACACAATCCCTAACTTTCTAACCTGTTTTATCCCTAACTTTCTAAACATCAGAGATGATTGTAACATAAACTAAAGAAAGATGTGTCGTTTATCAAATTTTTTCATTTAAAAAAAAATAAATGACACATTGTTCACCTAAAAAATACAAATCTAGTGTGTAGGCCTAATCTTCAAAGACTGTGCACTTAGGCCTTTTCTTTTGGGTTAGGTTGGGGGACCCACTCTTATAGAGTTGAACGCAAGTATCATTTTAAAAAAAATAACCCTTAATTTTTTTTTTGATTTTAGAATAAAATTATTGAAATGATATTAAATAATTCCATTTAGGTGATAGTTTCATGTTAAGATTAAAATTTACATCATGAATAATTATATATTAACTTAATATGCAAGAGTTTTAAAACTTTTGTTCATTAATATTCAAAAAAATAAAATATCTATTTTAATAAATTTTAATTTTGATATTTTTACAAGCTTTCTTTTCAAATTTATTATTCGTATATTATTCATATGAGTGTGCAAAAATTATTTTCTCATTGAAATTCTTATGAATGCTTATTGTAATTATCTTTAGTTTTTATTCAATAAATTATGGCACAAATAAAAAAAAACATGTTTTGCTAAAACATAAAAAAATAATTACATGAGTAAAAAAAAATGGACTAAAAGAAACAAATTTCCCTCCGGAATATAGATCATGGTCTTGGTGCTTCTTATAGTATGTGAGTCGTCATTATTTGTATTTGATGATTAATTTTTATACTTTTTATTTTATTATTTTTTTAAAAAGTAGGGGGCTGGCGAATCCAATAGATAACAAACCTAAATAAATAAATATTTTTTGAATTAGATGGATAATAAATAGAGTATGAATATTATTAAATTTAACTTGAAATCCACTCAATCACAACCAAAAATATATATTAATTATTTTATTTTTTATTAATTCATAAATAATGGCACATAATTGATACTTATTAGATACTCAAAATCCAATAAATAATTTATAAATATCTAAATTTTTTATATAATAAATAATAAATAGAATCTAAATATAAAAAAAATCGACTCACGAGTACCCAATTAGCTTGTTATTCTTAGTAGAGAGTGGTGTTACGAATGAGTAATTTAATTGAACTAATATAAATCTACAAGAGCGACTAATACTATCATCAAGACAAACGAAAATAAACTACAGGAGGTCCACAATTGATTTAGTTTTGAACAAGAAAGATTTATACAATATTTTTGGATGCGACGATGATGATGACAGTAGCAACAGCAATCCATAACGTCGTGCTAAAAAAGCAACAGCTACGCAAATATATTATTTATCAACTTCCACACCATAACCTTCAATCATCACCATATATGGGAACTCTTGTATTTCAATCCATCATCTCTTCAAAAGCAAGGGATATTCCATCACAATTTGCACAGTATATATATATATATTGTGTGTGTGTGTGCTCTTTCTTTATTGAAAAATGCCTTTTGGATCCGCTTTTTGGCTAAGACAGGAGCTTTTGCGCATGAAAAAAAAAATGAAAAAAAAGAAGACAATTAAAACTTAAAAAGAGAGGAAGGAAATGCTAAAGCGTGCTTACTTTGCCATCGTTCCTAGGATGTCATGGTAAAAGAGAGACGATTCGGTGTAAAGCAAATAAGCACTCTAGGGCGAAGAGGCCCCCGCAATTAACGGTCAATTTTATTTTCCCTACTGTAATCTTTCGGCAGGAATGATGATATCGTGGAGCCAGGAATCATAATATTGTGTGCTTAAAACGAAAAAGAATTACACGAAATTGATTTTGTTAATTACCTAGCTAGCTAGCTAGCTAGCATTTATATTTTCAATAGAGATTCATTGTTTAACTTATACAAGACTTCTTGCTTCTTATAGTATGTGAGTCGTCATTCTTTGTCTTTGATGATCAATCTTTGTGTTTATACGTACTTGGCTTAATTAATTGTTTGTTTGCAGTCTTAAACCCTTACTTTAACGTTTTTTTCCCGTAAATCTCTGTGTCCCTCATTGGGAGGTAATCGTGGACTTGGAAAATCGCCAAACTTACTTTAAATTAAGAAGATGATAGTCAAATGACACTTTTCTTTTGAGCGATGCATTATCCAATTTATCATCATTCTTCAAATCTTTAATTGTAAATTTATATTACTTTCACTAGCCAAAAGAAATTTCTATAATCATCCATGGCCTAATCCACCAAAGAGGAAGTGATTATTAAGCTTAGGGTATACTCACAAACTAGCCAAAGCAAAAGCAAAAGCAAGGGAGCATCCTTCAATTTTGTCTGTCAAGCTTAAAACCTCCATCTCTTGTCAGAAACAGCCACCTCTATCTTCTCCACTTTCTTACACACACACACACCACTCACTCTCGATGCCAGCACACGTTCATAGAATGGACAGTGGAGACCAAGAAACCTTGTTTCAATCCTACCCATGTGCATACTATGTTCAAAGTCCATCTACCATCTCCCATGCAAACAGTGCAGATATCAAGACCAACAATAATATTATCGAATCCACATTCCATTCACCAACAAGATCCGATACTATACTCATCAACAAGAACCCTGAGGTCTCAAGGTTCACCCTCTCTCGCTACTCGTCCTCTCGTGGATCAAACAACTCTTTCCTCATTGAGAAGAAGGTTAGTGATCAGCCCGCGAACAATGAGGTAAATCGTTTGATCATTGTTGATGGTCATGGATTTAATGGTGATGGTGGTTATGAAGATGAAGGGATGGAAGAAGACGAGGATCTTTATTATGAGAAGAGAGGTGGATGGTGGTGGAGATACTGTTCTTTTAGGAGGAGTTCTTCATGTGCATGGGTTTCTTTGCAAATATTTTGGAGACTTGTGTTGAGTTTGTGCGTTGCTTTGCTTGTTTTTTATGCTGCTACAAAACCTCCACAACCTAAGACGTCAATCAAGGTACGGACATGATCTTTTCTCTCCTCTTGATCTTTAACGTATATGTACATACGTTACCGTCGAACAGAGAAGAAAATTTAATTTATCATTTTTCTATTTTTGATTGATCACTTCATGGGAATTTAGATGATCTTGTAAAACATGTAATTCCAAATAACCTATGACACACACTTCCCAGTTCTTAATTTAGCGTAAGTTGTTGCATAGAAATGGCACTAACCTTAGATTCCATCAGTTTCCCCGAAAAGAAAAGACAAACAGTCCGTCATATTATCACATCAAAATGGTATTTGCAGCAGCCTACTAAAATAACGATAGGTCCATGAATGCCCCACTTTAAAGCTTTGCTCAATTAGAAGCCCCATAGCCACTAACTAGCCCGTACTTTCCTCGAACAGCTTCCACAATACAGAAAGGTAAATTTGTGACCCAACTGTAGCTAGAGGCTCCTTTTTGTCTCGTCTTTTCTTTTCTTTTTGAGTTTTTGGTGCTCTTTTCTCAAAGAAGTTTAGTAAAATTCCATAATAACACCCTAAGGTTGGAGTATGCTGAACAATTAATCCTAAGGTTGAAGTGATTATTAGACAGCTAAAAAATCTATAAAAGATTTACTTATAGCCATTAGGCCTCAGCCTGAATCATATCTTAGCTTTGGGCCTAGGTATAACCTATCACATAGCGAAATGAGTTTCATGATTAAGGCATTACTGTGGTTTTGGATCAAACTAGCAGCCTGATACCCAAAAGGGCCCATGTTATACCTGAGACTAAAAATATTTTCAGATCTCCTTTCTGTTACACGCAATATCAATAATGAAACACCGATTTCCTTGCCTTGGCAAAAAGAATTTTTCTACACTGAGCAAAAATTAAAAACAATAATATAGCTTTCAGTAATTCTTAATGCAAAAATAAAGCTATTCGTAATTTTACGCTTTTTTTAACAGTCACTTGCCAACTATTTTTATAAGACAAATTACATGTAGCTTGAAAGATGGGACTGGTTATTAGAGAAATAGATAAACCTGTATCAGATTCTTAAATTCACTCTGGATCAAAAGTCAAGAAAATTTTGATGCAGATAGCGGGAATTCGGCTATTTGGACTAGCGGAAGGAGTAGACGGCTATGGTGTTACGACTAAGATCCTGAACTGCAATTGTTCCATTGACCTATTGATAGAAAACAAGTCTAAGCTCTTTGGCCTTCATATTCAACCTCCAGTTTTGGAAATGTCATTCGGTCACCTCACTTTCGCAACGTCCCGTGTATGATATGTGACTCAATACAATCCCATGAACCATTTTTTCGATATTCAATTTCTGCGTTTATAATGCAATGTTTGTTGTGGCTCTTGTAACTTGGCAGGGCTCAAAACTATATGCTCAGAGCCATAGTTCAACGTTGTTCAAATTGTTTGTGGGAACCAGGAACAAACCGATGTATGGTGCTGGAACAAATATGCAGGACATGCTAGAATCAGAAAATGGATTGCCGATAGTGATTCGAGTAAGCTTGAGATCAAATTTTCGAGTAGTTTGGAATCTTATCAAGCCTGAATTCCACCACCGGGCTGCGTGTCTATTGGTCCTTGATGGTGCATATGACAAGAAGCACCGTACCCAAGTATATAATAGCACCTGCACTATGTCTTGATGATCCTGTCTGCTGTTGCACAGTGTTCAAAATTCTTCATGTGCTGGAAAATATGAGGATTAAAGATCAGAGAAATATAAATGGTAAGAAACGTGTTCGTAAGCATAACGCAAGATCTACCGATATGTTTCGTATGTAGACATAACTGTAATTAAGGAAAGATCGAGAGTCATGCAAAGAATTAGTGGGAGATTCTCAATTATACACTTGTGTCAGTGCGTGAACAATCAGGTTGCTTGAGTTTAGATGCCTGCATTAACACTTCGGAAGATTTCTCTCTGCTTTATGATCCTAGCTCCAAAATTTGTGTCGAACCTGAAGATGTTTGTTGACAAACTCCAGCAGGACTCTTACTTAAGAAAGATGACATGTTTACTAGAACTAAACCTGACTTGACTTAATTCATGACTAACCTAAGTTACAAATCCATCACAATTTACTCCTAGACACAGTTAATCCAAGATAAAGAAAATTAAAAAGTAATCGTTTTTTCCTTGTATAATGCCCAATTGTATACAAGATATTCCTTTCTGAGTCCAGTTGCAAGACAGTAAGTTGGGAGGGCACCACGCCACCACCTGAAATAATATCATACAAACACACACAGAATCAATTTTATTATACAACAAACTTAGCAGCCTGCATCAATGATAGAGGCCAGAAAGCATGAAGACTGAGTATATGCACCTAACATAAGCATATGCCTGAGTTAAATCATGGATATTTTTTTGAACAAAACTTCTCCTTGAGCACTAAAATCTAAATGCCATGCTGACAAAATCAGTGTACAATTCAGGTAAGATCGCACTTAAAGATTAGCTGGTGTTTATTTTCTTTTTCTTAATGTAAAACACCAAGTTTATTTAAAATTTGGATTATAGATTGTATAAGTTAATTTATTTAAATTTATTTTTATTTTTATTTAAAGAAAAAACAGCTTTATTTCTGGATGATTTCTTTTTAAAATTAATTTTAAAAAAATCCAATCAACCCGATCAAGACGTTAGTATGTTATATATAATTTGCATGTTATTGGGATTGATGTAGTTATAATGACAATATATAAGAGGAGATCGGGCAAGGCAACAATACATCGGCAAGTTTATAATTTCAAGCACACCTGCCAGTGTCTTCAAAATATTTACTGCTGAAATTTAGCACACCCGAGGGGTTGAAAACCTCTAAGCCATCCTATGTGTATTGATAAACAAATCTTATGGGGTTGCAATAGTGAAAATCAAGTTTCGGCTATGGAGAAAAAATTAATGTGATTTGATATGAAGTGTTCTTAACCTCAAATGTTAAGGTAAATAATATTTATTCTTCTTTACTTTTAAACATGTAAATTTTTTCTAAAACCCATCACATTATCATCAATATATATATATTTTGATGATAATGTGATGGGTTTTAGAAAAAATTTACATGTTTAAAAGTAAAGAAGAATAAATATTATATATATATATCATGTAAATCCTTCAAATGATAAATTTAAAATCTTTATTTTATATTACATATATATTTTAAAAAAAAATTCTAAAAAATACATCAAAAAACATCTTTAAATTTACTAAATAAAATCTTTTATAAGTATCAATCATAAGCTATCTTGATTTATCAAATATCAAAAACTATTCACTGATCATTTTAATTAAAAAAATAAATTAAATTATTAAAAAAATAAACTAATTATACATTATATAAACTTTAATTCTAAACCACTAATTTTTTTACAATATCATCACGATTTTCATCTTAGTAATGCCAAATAGAAGGTGGAGCGAGCAACACCAAGAAGGACCTGAAAAGATTGATTACGACATCTTCAAGCACTATGATCTGATTATTAGGAATACATTTCGATAAGCATCTCTACTCATCATCTCAAATTAATAATAATAGCTAGCATGACTGCACGACTACATGACCATGACATCAATCTATTAAATGTGAATTACGTGTATTTGTGGGGTAGGTTTTTTAAAAAATATTATTAATTAAAAATACATTAAAAAAGTTTTTTCCGATTTTATCTCCTTTTCCTACACGTAAAATGACCGAGACCTCCAAATAAATCTCCTTAGCCCTTCCTGTGAAATAATTTGAGTCACCTCACATGTTTCAATTTTAGGCAAACCTAATTAAGTCCCCCAACTAAATAGAAATTATAAATTGAGTCAAAAAATATTTTTTTGTCTCAGGATCTCAAATATTAAAAAGATTCTCAATTGAGTTCTCCAACTATCTATCAATGAATTGTTTTCAAATTATACATTTATCTGTGTAAAAAATGAAGTCAATTTGTTCGGAATTTTGATGTTTTTTTATTAAAAAATATAAAGAGTATTTTAGATGGAAAACTCAATTCAGATTATTTCTTTTTATTTTTTTTCTGATACTTTAGAGTCTCAATTGAAAAATGATTCAGGGGTTATATATAATTTAGGTTTTTCCCCGTACTTCTTTCCTCTTCAGCTATCATTGAGCAAGCAATGCCTCTTCAGTGGTTAATTTATACTATTGTTTCATCTATTTATGTATAACTTGTTTAAATGCTTTCTTTTTATTGTAGTTTTTTGCTTGATGCTCTTATTACCAGTGTATTTTTTTAGTAAATCTAGACTTTATGATATACTGATATTTGCTTATAGGAAACTAAACACACTGACACAAGATTTAACGTGGTTCAGCAGATCGCCTATATCCATGGAAGAGTTAATATTATTAGAGATAGAGAAATGATACAAAAAAAAAATGCATAGAGAAGGAGAATTACACCCACTTAAACTCAACTCCCAACTCATACACACTTCTGCAATGGCAGCAAGGCTACTGTTCTTGGCAGCCACTCTTTCTCTCTTATTCTTTTACACACACTCATCTCTCTCTCTCTCTCTCTCTCTCTCTCATTTTGCTCTCAAATAATGCATTTAGTTATAGGCATCAATGGTAAAACAAGATCCACAAATCATGACATGATTTGTGGCATTAATGGTGGCAACATATGAGTTGCACCATTTTGTCAATGGTTGGCTACCATACTTCTTAGGGTAGGCTGCAAATGATTACTGCATATTAATGACAACAATCCTAACAATCACCTCTTTTGTCATTCATATGAGCAATTGTCCTCTTGCTTCTTCAGCATATGTTTACATCCTACAGTTTTTCTAAGCTTGCCATTCTGAGAGCATCTTTAGCCAAGTTTACAGGTACTTGCCAAACCTTTCAATCACCAGAGTTACCAAAGCACACCCTTGCTCATACCAAAGGATCACCTCAACCAGATGGTCTTCCACATTACATTTGAAGAGTGTTAACGCTTGTCTCTAAAACAACATTCCCCTTCGAATATATCAACCGTGCTCAATCCAGAATGATTTTTCAAACCTTACACCAAGGCTTACAATACCCTCTCAAACAGAAATTTCTCTTTCCAAGTGTGATAATCATTATCTGAGTATCTTAATATGATCATGAGATGACCATTCTTCCAAAAATCTACTCATCTAGGAGTTGCGTCTGCCCTTTGTTCCACCCTAGAAACCATGTCTTACTTCTCCATGAGTCTCTCACTCTTAGTCTCAAGAGTCTAGGTAGCTCTCCACCTTTAACCATGGGGGCAGCCCATTAAAGGTTGATCCATATCTGTCTTCATACTTTCAGCATTACAATGTGATTATCGAGCTCACCACCTTAACAAGAATCAACTTATTTCAGGAACCTACACATGCCCTCTGCTCCTACATAGCAGTCGCGTCTTAATGCTCTACAAATCACCCACTTATTGTCGAAAGCAAATGTCTTCTAGCTCATTGATCTTTAGCATAGGGTTAATATCCATAAAAGTCGATCCTATATTTGTCTCCATACTCATTATAGCCACTTCATTGGTTATCTATCTGTCCACTCATATTTAGCCATCACATCGACTCTGGAGTGTTCTATAATTAGGGCTCCTATCATGGCCCTCACACCTTCTCTTAAGATGTCTTTGCTCATTGTCATGCGACGGTCTGATCTTGTGCTTATCTCATAGCCCTCACACCTTCTCTTTTGATGTCTTCTCCTTTCATCATAGGCGGTTATTTTTTTATCACAGGTGTTTGCACCCCCTCAATTAGGTGCTTCTGCAACAGCTTATCTTTCCATCCTTGCATGCATTGGAAAGGTCCTTGCTTATTGTCTTTATCAAGAGCACAAGAGACTTTCTGTTGTACAACTTTTCACAGTCTCTGCTCTGAGCTTTTTCAGGGAACACTTCTTTTCCTTATACCTATTATTTCATTACGGTACCTCGTTGGATCCTACGGGTACTCCTGCACAATCTCAGTGTGCCCTCGTGCAATTTCTGTTGTATTTATGTTTGATAGCAATTCATCATGTCATAGTTATTCCTTGCTTATGTTTGATAGCAATTCATCATGTCATAACACCTATCCAAGTCAAAATAAGGTGTCAATCTTTACCTCTTGCTGTATTTCTTTTTCATTATTGGGGTCTTTATCAATTCTTCCCTCGAGAAATTACAGTCACCAAATCTAACTTCTTTGAAAAAATCACCACTCCATCAGATCCTTGATCATATAGAACTCAACTATTTCTTTGTTTCGTCATCTTGCTAGTCTTCAACAGTTTCATTACAAACTATTACATATATAGAAAGAGCACCGTATGGATAATCCTTCAACTAAGTAAGTTCTCAGGAAAGATTGGAGGGGTCATACTGGTCCCGTTTAAAACTCAATCTCCTAGCCAGAACTTATTATACCATATATATCCATTGTACTGTCTTTTTGTATATACAACCATTTCCTAGTATTGTCGCGGCTTTTCTTTGCAAGTGATATGGAATATTTTGGTTTCATAACTGATTTCTCAACATCTAGTGAGACTACCAATGCTTACGTCAAGATTGACCTTTATCGATTTTCACTCTCCATCTCAAATCGTCCATGTGATCAAGTGTCTAGAGTCCCCTAATTTTGCCTTCCCTCGAGGCAATTAAAAATTCCTCACTTAGTAGTTCAATATATGTAATTGGACAAACATGTGTGATTTCTTCTTCTTCATCTCCATCGACCATCATGATGACCTTCAGATGCCTCCTAATCGGGCAAACTCTTTTTATTAATTCACCATCACCACTTTCGGTCACCATCTCAATGATCAGACCATACCATTACATCTAGAACGATCAAATTAG